CCTGTGTCTGTCACTCAGAGTGACACAGGCCAGAGCCCGTGTGTGTGTGTGTGTGTGTGTGTGTGTGTGTGCTGTCAGTGTGTATGAATGAGGAGGTGTTGGGTGAAGGACCAGATAGAGATGCAGGAATGTAGAAGACAGCAGTATATGTGTGTGTGTGTGTGTGTGTGTGTGTGGGTGTGTGTGTGTGTGTGTGTGTGTGTGTTTGTTTTCTTTGTCAGTGTATGTGTATGTGTGAGCATTTATTTGTCTGTGTGTACCTGTACGTTTGTGGGTCAGTGCATGTGTGTTATTGTGTGTTTGCATTTTTATGTGTGTGTGTGTGTTCGAACCAGGCACCAGGAAAACTGTCCCCGTCCTGACTGGGGCAGAGATTTAATCATTTGGGGGTCACTGACTTACTTTGGCCCCTCTTCCTCTCACACACACACACACACACACACACACACACTAACCAGACTCCTCTGTGTCTCCAGGAAGAAGACTTCATATGAAAGGGCAGGAAAACCCAGAAGGTAGAATACACTGTCAACACACACACACACACACACACACACACACACATCCATCATTCTCTTCGTGCTCCGTGGTGAACTTGCTGAAATCCACTTTTCTGTTCCCAGACAGACTTTCATCTTTGTTAATTCTGTGTTTGTCTCCTTTGTCCATGTGATCACAGTTATCAGCTACCATTCAGTCATGTGACACCAGTCTGGGTCAACACACACACTGATCAATGTGTGTGTGTGTGTGTGTGTGTTTTCACATCGACCACTGACTTGTTCCACTGGTTTGATCTAAATTTGAGTAAATGAGCTGGAAACGGAGTAAAAAGAAGGCGTTTGTTTTGTTCACCTTCAGGTCTATGGTGGGGAGTGAGTTTAGGAGGAAACACCTGGAAAACACAGGGGGTTGAACGGGTGATGGAAGACAGAGAAGGTAAGACCAAGTCTTTATCTAACATCTAGATGTTTTAGTGTTAGTGCACAATCAATAAAAACATTAAATATGAAATGCTTTTTAAATGTATTTATACTGTACTGATTAAAAGTGTTTTTATCATGTAGCATGCTGAACGCAATGATAAAAGTTTATTAAATCAAAATAAATTGTTTTTTTTTAAATTACTTGACACCCTGGAGTCCTCACCCAAAAATATGTATTTATTATTTTCTATTCAGCTCACATTTATATTCATTGTTAGTCGAGAACTTATCTTTATTAGTTTCTATTCAGCTCACATTTTAGTCGAGAACTTATCTATAAATTATAAATTATATAGTGTGAGAAAGCAATCATTACCAAAGAGTTGAGAAGATTTAACTTGACTTAGGCAATAAACATGTTTGTGTTTAATTTATTTTCTTGTTTGAGTGACTTCACAGTCTTTAAAATGAGTGGATTTGTACGTTATTCTGAATAATCTCCATGTTGTTCTTGTGGATTTAATGGATTTGACCAAGTTAGGTCATGGAGTCACACACACACTCACACACACACACTCACACACTCACATTCAGCATGATCCAGGAGTGTGCTTTTGAAGGAATGATTAACTCTTCAGGTGCAGGTTCTCATCAGTGTTGGGCTGAAGTGCTGACTCGGACTCCAGGTTCACGCTCTTTGAAGAGCAGCGCAAACACATCACACTGCACTCGATTACACATGATAAGGATGCAATTATCAAAATGTCTTTTGTTCCAACGTTTGTAGGTTTTTCTTCAACTCTCGTATGCTAATATTTGAAATTCCACTCTGGGGCTGTTACTCACTCAAACCACTCAGTCTGCCATAACATTTAGACATATATTCTAATTAGGTTTGGTTAGGAAATTATAATTACTGGGCACAGATTTATAAAAGTTTTAGTTTGAGATGTTTTAGACCCAAAATAAGGTTAAAAGATAGCCCTCAAATAGCCAAAAGCTAACAAATTGGCATTGGGATGAAAACCATGCCAAAAACAAAATAAGAGAAATCTTACAAATTACAATTATTAGCAAACACTAAAGGTTACAAAATTTGTAAAAAAACAACAATAAGATTAATAACTAAATTATTGGAAATTAGCAAGAAAGGAAAAAGTTGGCTGTTAAAAAGCAAAAGCTCAGACAACATGTTATACTGAGCCCTGAATAATATAATATAATATAATATAATATAATATAATATAATAGACCAAACCCGAGAATACATAAATGTTAGCTAACATATCAGATGTAAAGCTCAAGGTTAGCTAAGAGGTAAGTTCTAAATTAGCACCAATGCTAGACTGAGCCGACATAACTATAACCACAATACCTCAGAGTAAGTGTTAGCAATCGCTAGAAGTTAGCTAACGAAGCTGGAGATAAGTAACACAGGAATAACGAAGAAAGTTGGCCAAAAAGTACTACGTAAGTAACTTCAAGGTAACCCAGAAAGTACTTCAATTTGATAATATTGTTCTAGGAACGATTTAAATGCCATCGAAACATATTTCACAGGCCCAACAAAATATGGCGTCCATTTGAAATTGAGTTTCCTTCCCTGGTGTGCACATGTGAGCGAGGCCAAATGTATTTTTAGCAGTGAAGACTCAGGGATCCCAGGACCTCTCCCTGTGATAAGCTGCGGCCAAAGTCCGCAGGCCAGAGGAGGACTGAAGAGCAAATAACACAAAGAGCAAATAACACACACACGCACACACACACACACACACACACCGCTGCAGGGCCAGTGTTTAGTACGCTGATACATGGGGCTTAGCAGCAGCGTGATGTGGCAGCCAGATGCTGTTTGTTCGTACGTGTACGAGGGCAGGTTGGGGGTAAGACTCAGGTTAGGCAAAGGTGAGGTGACATCATCACAACAATGGACCGCGGTGTCTTGGAGGAGTTCAGGCAGAGTTCATGCACAGGGTCAAAGAAGTGTCAGTGTGGCTCAGGTGTTCTGAGGAGAACAGAGAGCGAGGAGGTGAGGGGGAGGGGGGGAGGTGGCCAATCACAGAGATCCAGTAGGTTTGGAAACAAGTGTGTGGAGGTTCCCGTCAATGTCAGAAACTCTTGTTGTCTGTCAATCAAACGCTGGCCCCTCCCTCTCCGAAAACACTCGTACTGAAAAACAAAAACATGAGGAGGAAGTCGGAGGAGGAACAGTTCCTCAGTGTAGGGTCTGTCCTGCACACAGATAACAGAGGCCACGTTTCTGTTTGGACGAGGACCGCAGTTTGACCACTACAACGTTGAATTTGTCATTTTTGAAAGCGGCCTTAAAGGAGCTTAAGAGAGGAGGAGGAGGAGGAGGAGGAGGAGGAGGAGGAGGAGATGTCACCAGACAGGAGGAGCACTGGAAAACAAAGAGGCTCCACACTCTGCTCTGGCTTATCTGTCTCCTGCTCTTATCCTCTGTTAGTGTAACCCCTCTCCTCCCTGCTCTCCTTCCACCTCATCCCTCCATCTCCATCCCTCACCCACTCCCTTCTCCTCTGCTGCTGGCCGCGGACCCCGTTATCAGGCCGGGCTGACGTCAGGGGGCCCGCTGGTGCTGGGGGGCCGGAGACGGAGGCTGATAGCGCGGCAGAGGCTGCCTCCACACTGGCTGTGGGAACCAGGGGCCCAGCCCACATCGACCCGGTGGCCCCGCACGTCCACCACAGAATCACACACACACACACACACACACGTAAGGAAGTATGTTACAATAAATCGCTCGAGTGTTGTTGAGAATTTGAGGTGATCTGTAAATTTACAGGAGAGTTTCTATAAATATACAATGAAGTGAACTTTAAAATATATATATATATATGTAATTACATATATATATTGTTATTTAGAGTGCAAGAAAAATCCATATTCCGACTTTAAAGTAAAAAAAACTACCTATAGCAACAAGAAGTCAGTATTCTTCTTAAATGTAAAATTTATAGCTGATCAAATTTAAGAAGATTTTAACTTTTAGTTCTGACTTTGTTGTGTTTTTTTTTTGTGACCAGAAACAAGGATATATTTGTTCAGGGAACTTATGCCAAAAACATAAATGCGACAGAACCATACATGTGTAAATACATTGGTCTTTTCAATGGTCCTTTATACTTTGTTGTGATTGGCTGCGGTCACTCTGCCCTTATCCTTTATTTTCTCTCTGTCACTCTCCACCAAAGGGAACTGGACGTTCTTCAGTGGAACTGGATGGAGGTTCCGTTAGGATCCAGAGAAGAAGCAGCGAAGGCAGCCGTCCTCTGAGGGTACGTGTGAAATATTAGAACTTGTTTAGTTCAGAGAAAAAAAAGGAGAAGAATGTAGATGTAAGGTTTAGACTCTTTTAGTGTACATGGTGAAATATAAAATAAATTGAGTAAAAATAAAGTAAAAATTGATAGTGTAGTACAGCCCCACCAAACGCTGGATGCTCAGCATTATTCTACTCAGTCTGTAAACACTAGTTCTGATGTGTTTAACATGTAATTTTGGAGGGTAAAAAAGTGTAAAATAATATGAAATTTCTAAAAGCTGAACATATGGTGTCTTAAATTAGCACTTTTCATATTTATACATTTAGCTGTCAGTTGTCAGTTATCTGTCAGTTGTTCTTGTATCTCTGTCAGTGACTGTGGCTGCAGCCAGGCTCAGAGATGACGATGTCAGGGATGGAATTAGTCCACGTTTTCTCACTGGAAGAGGAATTAATTGCCCAAGACTGGGTTAAGGAGCCACTTGGCCCCGAGTGGTGGAATGGCTATTGTCATGGCTTGAAAACGTGAGTCTGTTGGGAGCGTGGGGTGAGGGCGGTGGGGGTGGGAGGCAGAGGGGAGCAGCGGAGTCAACAGGTGCAAGTTTGATGTGTGGGGAGTGAGTGGAGTCCGAGGCTGCAGCAAAGCTGGTGCTTTTCACATCATTAGCTGCAGGTGCAGCCCTCCCCAACAAAGTGCAAACACACACATACATTCACACAGGCGTTATCAGTTCATCAAAACCCCAAACTCTTTTTTTTATGTTTCAAAGTTTACAGTAAACGGGAGTGAAACGAACCATCGTTCTGCCACTTAGATTCCCATATTTCCTCGTATCTGCGCGCACGTGTGTCAGATGTTGTTGGGATGACGAGTGGAGACACGCTTATCAGTGTGTCGTTCTGGGGAAGGTGGAGAAGATTTGTTACCATGTGGTCTGCTCGGTCTCTGTCTCTTTCTCTCTGACCTCCTGTTGGCTGAGGGAGTAGGAGGAAGAGAAGAGTGGCCTTGACAGAGGCGGAGGAAGGGTAGGATGCGAAAAAAAGAGCGAGCGTTGTTTCAGAGTTGATTATCCTCCGCCTCCTACTTTTCTCACACTCTCTGTGAAGACACACACTCCCTAAACTGAGCAGTGGCCATGGTGTGCCAGGGACACTGGGAGTAGAAGATGAGGAAGAGAGAGAATGAAAGTGTGTTGACACTGAAGGGAAAAGGAAACACAGGCCTGTGCTGATGATGACACCTTCATAAGAAGATGCTTCTTTTTTTACATTCACTTTTTTATTGGATTCAGTGCAAATTATTTACAGTTACACTCTGCAGCGGGGGGTGAAACACCCCCCGTAGAGGGGGGGGGGGAGGGGGCATGAGCAGTACAGTTGCCCTTGAAGGGCCGGTTGTACATGGTAGATTGTACAGATGGAACAGCTCCATAACGTGTTCATAAATGTTTCTGAAATTGATTGTTATTTATTAAAGTTAGGAATATTGTCCATTGCTCTGTGTAATAAAAAAATTATCAGGTAAAACAGTTCAGCTTCATGGACAAAGGAACTGGGCTGGTCATATTTGGCACCCGGGCCTTGAGTTTGACTCAGTCATGGCAGCGTCATTCTTCGAGGCTGTTTTTCTTTATCTGGAACTGAAGGTTTTAAAATATTCCAGTAGTAGTTGATGTCTTTGCTGCTAATTACTCATAATATTTAGTTTACAGTATCAGACCCATACATTACCCCCCACCCCGCCCCCCCCTCCAGGCAGCAGTAGGTGGTAGTTCATTGGTATTCCACTCTGGTGTCTGACTCAGTGCCGTCCTCTCTGCCCTCTGGAGGCAGACGTGATAAGAGCAGGCCTCATTAGTCTTTTTAATTGGTCCGGACCATGTGGACTAAACTAAAGTCTGTTGTCTGGACGAACGCCAGGCTAAAATAAACAGAAAGACTGTACAGGCTGAGGAAACAGATCAGGGAGCAGCGTGGACGCTGACAAATAGTGTCACAAAAAAGAAGTTGTTTTTTTCTCTAAAAATGTTCAGTTCTGGATTTAGACCAAAACATGAGATTTCAAACCTCTGCTCCAAATATTTGACAGTTTGTTGGCCTCTGCTTGAACCAAAATGATTCAAATACCTGTTTTCCAGTGATGTATAATCTTTAAACTCCTTTAATAATGATTTTTTTTTCATACGTCCTGCAGGTTTCACCTAATTGGAACGTCACAATGGAATATGGATGATCTGGCCCCTGCGTGTGTGTCAGACGGAGTGGGCCGCGGCGTCCATACTTGGTGGAGAATCCATCAAAGCTTATCATTATAAGTAAACATGACAGAGTGGACAAAATGTCTTCTGCGCCGCCAGAGCTGCTATCTCACCGCGGGCCGTATCTGTGATGATGGACTGATGTGGCGCTGGCTCTGACTGACCAGAGTCTGAGAGTGTAAGAGTGGGAGTGCATGTCTGACTGCACACACACACACACACACAATTACAGACACATCAAAAGACCCTGGCTGAACACACACTCATGTTACCTTTCACATAGTCACTCTATCTGACGTGTCTTCAAGGCAACAGTCGACTTATCTCCCAATCATAAATTGCTGGACACGGTTATTTATGAATTTACGGCTGTTATTTGTCACCCAGCCCTTTTCAATGGCTAAGTTATGAGCTAATAGGAGGAGGCTGAATTTGTATTGTTTTTTCTGTACTGGACAAGCCTTTTTATGGCAGATGAGATCAGAGGATTTCCCGACCACAAATAATTCATTATTCTACGACTTAACGATTCTTTCTCCTTATTTTCGTTGTACTTGAAGTGTAGTCAGAAAACTTCATAACATTTGGTTTTTCCATTTTTCCTAGGTGACTTTTCCGAGCCGAATCCATGCATGTGCGAGTGCGTGCCACCCCACCCCCTCCTCACCCCCCCTCCCGCCGACTTGTTACAACACCAGAGATAAGCAGAGTAAACAACAGTGCACTGTTTGCTGCAGTCATGTGATTAAAAAACACACTAACGAGTGCTGCAGGAAGGTGGGTTTCTGTGAGCGTCCGTCTCCCCTGTCCACCGTCTGCCCCTTCCTCACAGAGTGGCTCCAGCGCGGTCTGGACCTTCCACTTTAAACGCAAAAAAACTGCCACGGTGATAACCCTTCTTCTGCTGTTCCAGTTCCTAGGTGAAAGGTCACGGCTGCGGTGCGTCGGCCAGCGTGGCAGGTTGACAGCGTGCGTAGTGGCGCTGCTGGAAAGCCGTCTCCGTCACTTTCTTTCCCTGCTTTTTCTTTCTCTCTTTCTTTCAGCCGCACGTGGACACGGAGCGAGTGTGTGAGAGTGTGAGAGTGTGTGTGTGTGTGTGTGTGAGTGTGTGTGAGGGGGTTGTTAACCTCCTGGTGGTCTCCAAGTCAGTCTAGGAGAGACCACCGTGAAGATTGTAAATGTCTCCATCAAATCTACCTCATTAGTGTGTGATGCATCCATCTCTGGGCCCCCCCCCCCCCCCCCCCCCCCCCCCCCCCACACACACACACACACACACACACACACCTCAGCTAATTTTTGCTTTGACAACAGCAGAAAAGAACCATCTCTAAATATAAAATCACCTTCTCTCTGTGACAGAAGGCGTCAGTTTTCTGAAACATTCCCAACACAAAAAATACATTTCATGAATTTAAGCATCTACTTTGAACAGCGTTCACTTAAAACAGTCAGAAAGACAGACTTTTTGCACTTTCCTTAAATTTTAGTCTGAACTTTTATCAATCCATTTACTGATCCAAACATCCATGTTTATGTCAAAGCGTATCTCAGTTGTTTAGAAACACTTAAGACAATGTTGGAAAAATAATCTTGTTGAGTTGACATTAACATCAAGAATGAGTAGACAATACCAATGTCACAGAAAATAAACAAAACAAAGAAAAAAACAAAGCAAATAACATTTACCACTGCAGTGTCACCTTTATCTTTATCTCTTTCAGTGACCTTTTCAATGGCAGCCGATCGTCTTCTCGCCGCGTCGACCTCTAACAGACGGGTCAGAGCTGCGCCTTTAAATCACGATGGTAATTCATTTAATTCTCTAACTGTTTGCTTAATTATTTGAGCGTTGCACATCACACAGCACATCCCTGCCGTCCTCTCATTACAGCTCTGGTGTGTTATGATAGAATATAAAACCCAAAGTTCCAGTTATCAGTTATCATCATTTGTCTGACACATCCTTCCACGTTTGTTTAGGTTCCGCGGCTTCTCGCTGCCACGGTGTACTTAAGGTTATCGTGGCAGTAGTCTAAGCTAGAAGTGTGTGACGTCAGAGCAAAATTATTTTAAATCTTTTCAAGGCCTGTGCCGGGGATCAGAGAGAGATAAAGTGCTCTTGTTGTCACAGACAAAACACTGAACAATATGAACGATATTTTCACTGCAGCGATGAGAGGTTGGATGAAATGTTACACTTTTTATTGACAGCACTTTCTAAAAATGCACCTGAGCATTTTTGGTGAGTTATTTGTAGCGACAAACCATAGCCTTGTTTGTTTTCTTAGCAATATATATTTAAACTGATTTATTTTAAATTATATTTCTAGTGATGTTTGTTGTTTTAGTGCAGTTGTAAAAAGAGAGAAGAATTCATATTTAAATACCTGGATCTTTAAAGACAAGACAGTGCTTTCTAAAACTGCAGAGAGTTTCCTCTTTTGGTTTTCAGAATTTCTATAGTTTTTTTATAGTTTAAAAACTATAGTTTTTGTACTGTGACATTGCACATGTCTATATATATTTTTTTAAAGCCATCATAAGAATGTTCTAAAAATTCTCCATCGTTCTTCTAGTCATCTAGCATGCAAACGACTACAATGACAATTATTCCAAGTTACATGTAGGTTTTGAACCCCCCCCCCACACACACACACACCCCACTTCAAACCGTACAGCAGAATCCCAGCACACACACACACAAATCTGTGTGTTCACAGGGAGAAGAGGGAAGTGCAGAGGGATGACGAGAGTCTGTAAAGGCCAGAGGAGGGACACACAGGCGCCATGGCGATCCCTAAGACAACTTATCTCCTCTCTCACAATGATAGCGCCTGTCAAAATAACTGCCAAGATACATAGCCAGCCAGGAACTGGTTAACTCCAGAGCCGTCCAATCAGCGGGCCTCCTGCTCGGACCTCTGTCTTTCCCACCTTAAAGAGAACCCAAGTTCCACAAACATTATCTCTGTCCCATTTCAGAAACAGGTTCTGTACAAATGAAGCTTTTACTTTTTAGGTTGGACTAAACAGAAGTTGCTCATCAAAAGTGTCCATGCAGCACAAGTAAAGTTAAATCTTTCTCTACAGAAAAACAAACAAACAAACAAAGCTATTTTAAGTTAAATACGTACAGTTGAAATAATGGTTCGGATTCAGATGTTAATTAGGATTGTCTCTAGGTTTAGGGTCAGGGTCTTTTTGTAGCCTCATTGTTTGAGCGATAGACTCCTCCTAGAATCAACAGACCTACGTAGGCTTGAAGGTCTATCAGGTCTACTTCTATCCAGGTGTCCCCAAACACATGCTTCCCCTCTACGTTTGTCATCTCCAGTATAATTCCCTGAATGGACGGGCAGTTGGCTTCCTGAGCGATTCCTAACAAGTCCTACCGGGGGCCAATGTCACGTGGAGCTTCTCTTGGGCTTCATCGCAGTCCTTGGTGCCCTCTTCAGGCTGAAGTTGGGACCACACAGCGTGGAGCAACTCATACTGGATCTTGGATTTTAAAAAAAAAAGACTTTTTCGGGAAATTATTAGGATAATGTTTTGCTGTGATCAACACACAAAATGTGGTGCCATTTACTGCAACGCTTTTTCCATATAAAGCCATGCTCTGCAAACAGCGGGAAAAAAGGCCTAACAATTTTATTTTGAAAGATAACACTCAGGAAATGACTGAATCAAAACATTTTAAATAAAAAAAAAACGTATTGCCCTATAGCAACCACACTAGTAATAGGATGGTTTAGTGTTTTAGTACAAATTCAAAGTTTTTCCATCTGTCAAAAAATTCTATGAGAAAATAATGCTTGCTGAACCTGGAATTAAAACTATAATAATGAAGTATACATATTATTATTATTACTTTTTTAGTTGTTGTTCGCTGTTCTTCTATCGAAAGAACTCTATTTTATTCATGTTCCACGAGGAATTTCACCACTTTCACCAAATTCACCAAATGTGGAGTAAAATTTTTATATATATATAAAATATATATATATAAATATAATATATTTAAGGAATAAATTCAGCACGTTATGACGATTGCCAAACGTTTGTACAATGCAGTCCGTTGTTTTGGCCAGCAGACGGCGATATTCTGCAGAAAATAAAATAAAAAAATAAAATCATCTTATTTGGTTAAAATGGAAAAATAATACCGAGCCTTGTTTTTAATGGATATTCTTTGTGGACTGCCACGCTGCCAAACAACAACAATAATAATACAAATAATAACACTTTGGTGCTGTTTTAATACAAAATGTGATATTTAACAGATGCAAAAACTAGTGTTCCCTGACCGGGAATCGAACCCGGGCCGCGGCGGTGAGAGCGCCGAATCCTAACCACTAGACCACCAGGGAAGCTGTGTTAACTGAGCTGTGTAATGAACATTACATTATTGATCCTGACATAGAGCTCATTGTTGTTATGAATTATTATTAAAATAAAATGCATATTTGCACAAAATCAAATTATTATTATTAGATCGCATCCCATTACAATTATCCCAGAATGGGGCCAAGGACAACCAGTTTTGTTAGATTATATGTTGCAGCAAAGTGACACCAGAGGGCGCAGTGAAATATGTTTGAATTGATATAAACCTTAGCAGTACCAGTGGGAGGATGGTCGTAAGGTATGTGGACATTTATATAAATCATATTTGTCATGTCGATGTATATTTCCTCGCCAGATTGTTGTGATTAAAAGTACGACGGTGTTCTATTCAAGTAGCCATCGGCGGAGAAGAAATCCTCACCAACCTCAGCAGGTTAACATTGTCTGTCAACAAAGTGGCTAGTTAGCTTTGTTAGCCTCAGCTGGCCAAACTGGACCTTGTCCACCGTGACTGTGATTGTTTGTCAAACCGGTGGTAAAACGCACGCAATGATACTGCGTTAACACAACCAAATGGTTGCGTTCGGTCGCTGCTGCAGGAAGGAAGAAGCTCATTTCGGGCGACGTTTCTCTGCTGATCAAAACGGCTGCATTCTGAAGAATGTAGCTAGAACTAGGTGGGGTAAGGTTATTGAAATGTTGCCTTTCTACTGTGCTACAATAATGTCTTCTTGTATTGCGTGCAAAACGACTCGTGAATAAACAGTGGTTCCTCACATTGTTTGAAAAACAAGCAGAATAACTGTGTTGGTCCAGATAGCTTAGTGAAGCCATTTCGTTGTGAATATTAAAACCAGATGCTGCCGATATTAAATCAGGTTTCTTCAAGGAAAAGTTCAGATTTATCTATCACAATCATGTTATTGTGTAATGATAATTTAGTGAATAATTAATTTAAAAGTGAAAAATGACAATCGTGTTAAAATCTCAGGTAAATGTAAATATAATTTTTCAGTTTAAAAATAAGATGAGTCATTTTAAAACCATTGTGATTTAAGCTGAAGCCTGAAAAACGAAAACAAAGGAAACAAACAACAGCTGTTTTTTTATCTCTTAATGCAACAGAATGTACATATTGCCTAAAAAAATTAATCAACTAAGCCATGAAAAAATACCCTTTTCATGTGGTAAATTTGAAGCATGCATTGTCAGGGGAGATGGAGTTTTCTTATTTCCGTACTTTGTACCAGGAGAAAACTGAGGAAACTGATCAAATAATCTGTCATTAAAATCCCAAAGAACAGAAAAGAGGTGGACGTTTTCAGTAGGTTTATCTTAGCTTTGCATCACCTCTAAAGAAACTGGCCAAGGCTGGAAAAATAATAAACCCTCTTTTGTGTCTCAAACACAATTTTGAAATCATAAGAGACAGAATGTAAATGTAGTGCTTTTAAATTGACGGGTTGTGCTTCAAAATGAGGGGTCATTTTAGTCTTTTGGCACGACACAGAATAGAGCTGCAGACCAAATTTAGCATGCTAGCCATATAGCCTAACCAAAGCTGGATGTCAATGATTAACTGCTGGCCTGCTGGACAGACTCCAAAACTGTGGGGGAAAAAGTTTGGCCCTAATTGCAGGATTTCATTTATATGAAAGAATTGTTGTTGTACAGTAGATGTCTTTCTTTTTACAGCTGCGATCCTGCACCACCTGCAGGGAGGGATGAGGAGCTACATGCAATATGTTTATTAAGACGAACCCTCTATTCTGGTATATTGTTGTATTGTTGGTTTAATGATAAGAAGAGCAGAGACAGGCCGGAAACCGGCCATAATATAAATAAGTTACAGTCTCAGCTTTTTATTGTGTTAAAAGTATTTATTATTAACATTTATTAAACTTGACAGTTATTAGTTGAATTACTTAGAATTTGCCTTATGAATAAGTATTTTTTTAGTGGTTTCCGATTTGTCCAGCTTCCTCCTCTAAACCTTCTTTCTGTCTGTCCTGCTCACTGACTCTGGTCCAAATCCTCCTTTAATATCATTGGCATGATTAACTTAGTGTAGAGCTGCCATGTGGAGGTTTATAGCACACGTCATTGGTCAGACTTTCTAAAACGTCAGTTACTTTAAAGGCTATAAAAGCAGCCCAAGTTAAAAAAACAAACAAACCAAACCAAAGCTGCTTAAAATGTTCATGTGTTCATGTATATAAAGGCTATAAAAGCAACCCAAGTTAAAAATAAAAAACAAACCAAACAAAAGTTGCTTAAAATGTTAAAAAAACAAAACAAAACAAACAAAAGCTGCTTAAAATGTTCATGATGTATTAAATATAGATATAAGTCTGGACATACAGTACCTGGACCATGAACCTGACCTTGGTCAACTCTTTATCGACCTCTACTTGAGCAACTGTTCAGTTGCAGCTTTCACTTATTACATAATCCGACACAGGGCTATTGTTGCAGCGTTAACTGGGAGCAGATGTGTTTCTGCTCCACAGCAGAAGGATAGGATTCTTTTCCTTCCTGTTGCCTCGGCTTTGTCAGCAAGGGGACCCGACATGCTTATGATTACGGGAGGCTTTCGTCGCCTTTCACTTTAGGCGGTCAGACTTCACCTTCTGCGTCTGAGTTCTGCTGAGTGAGGCCAAACAAGGTGAAGCCTCTAATTCCCCGTTTTCTCTGCAGGACGAGAAGGAAGAGTGGCATCGGAGCGTGAAAGGTGATCTTCCCAAAAGTTGAGCGATTTTGGCTCCGACTCCCAACTGGGTGGGTCAGCCCCAGCCTGTGCGTTTTTTTGCTGCACGTTTTTATGGATGTGCTGGAGTGTGTGCATTTTTAGGAGCCTGTCGTGATGGAGAAGAGAGACAGGAAGCCGGGATATTTTGCCAGGTAAGAAAATTCAACAGCTGAGTGCTTTTATTTCTTTTTGAATCCATTTTAAAAACTTCTGTTTAAATTTATTCACAAAAAAGCAATGTTAAACATCAATTAAAAATATAAATAATAGTAAGGCTGACTGAATCAGCTGCTGTGTGTTTGTGCTGTTAAGTTTTGTTTTTTGTTTTTCCCAATTTTTTCCACTGAGTTACATTGATTAGTTTATTTATTTAGTTTACCTTTAGTGTATCCAATCAGCAGCCATAAGGAGTTGTGCGTCAGAGTCCTTTTGTCAATCTGCCTTGCTAGTATGATGTTGACCTTCTAAATTACACGTTGGCAGCTGCGTGAGAGAAACACGCTTGCAAATTGTGCACAAAGCGAGCCGGTCACAGCTACAGTGAATACAGTGACAGGCAAATTGTTAGGATTATGAGCGAAGAGCGCTGTGACGTCTGCACAGGAGAGGTGTGTGAGGACGGCATGAATGAACACCAGAGGCAGAAAGAGTTCATTTGTAGTGAATAAAAGTGATCAAGTGGTCGACTTGTTTCAGTGTTTCTTAGAAACTGCTGTTATTGTCTGTTTGTTTTAAACGTCATGGTCTTCTTTGTTTGTCTCCAGTCCTTCTGCTTTAAAATATGAATTCAGATGTTTTTAGAGCCTGATGCCAAAATGGATGTATCGATAAGCACTTGGCAAATGTGCTGCAGAGGCAAAGATGTTGACTAAAGACTTGATGGATGTTGTGAGCCAGTGCAGCCTAATGGATTTCAGGCCTCCTTTTGTGTCTCAGGTTACGTGTTCAAGCTACCATGATGGACCAACACAAACCCAGGATTTGTCTTTGTGTTTTTCTGCCTTCCTATTTGGTTGGACTCCAACAAACAATTGCTGGGAAATGACTTTGTTACAGCAGTGCAGCTGAGGAGGCCGCCTGTTGTTTTGATAGCTGGGAGTGTATTACATTTTACTAGAACTTTACTAGGCTCTGTTGAAGGTTGATGTTGTTACTGTAAAGACGCATGCACAACATTAGCTCTGCAGTGGCAGACGTGCTATGGACAAAGAGGACATGTCCTGAAATAAGTATCCGTCTCAGTACACGTAGCTACTGCAGTTACATGTGTCCCTGGTGTTGTTTGAACCATGTGGTGTCCTACGAGCAGGGCAAAGGTCACTGATAGACACATACACTCTGATTAAACAAGTACAAAGCAGCCGCTGGTTTTTATAATCACCTGCTATTATTTAACCAAAGGGACAATATTCTTTCTAATATTTGTGTGGTGTGATTGGAGTTGAAGATTTATACAACACTGTTGAAACAGACTGTGCACACAGGGATGATAAGGATATTAGACACTGGGGCTCCTCAGGGACCCGTGGCAACACAGTCGGAGCTGCAGCTCAGTGGGAGACGGCAGTAGCTGCTGCCATGGTGATTTCACTAATCACCGCTTTAGGCCTGTTAAGAAAAGTCGCACAACAGCATGACCAGCGTCTGTCGTGAGACACACCACGAAACAAAAAGGATAAACAATGAATAAAAATTATCTTTTAAGTCTTTGAATCCCTTTCCTGTTTAGTTAAACAAAATTACACAGTGTAACACACCAATTTCATCTTCAACAGAGGTTTTTTTTCTTTGTTTTTATAGCCATTTGCTGCCACCTGGTGGAAGAGTATTTATTTGTTCTGCCAGTCACTGGCACATGATAAAGAGCATCTATTTATTTGCACAAAATAAGTAACAATTTTCAGACCAATCAGGTGAAATGCTCGGTGCTCGACTCGGTAACTATGGTTATGTGAAGCTGTCCTGCTCTTGCCCCTAAAGAGGAGGAGGGTGGGCTCATGCAGTAGATCATTATGATTTAAAGGTAAAGACACAACACCAAAACAGGTGACTAACATTTAGACATCAAAGAACCAAATGTACAAGGATAACATTTTCATAACGTGTCTGTCCTTTAACAAGTTGTCTCTTAGAGTTTTGAAGCCTTTTATTTCCTGCCTCTGCCTCCACTGTCTCTGGAAAAACAGAATTTTTTTACCACTTCTGAAGTTTACCTTCATTTATCATCATCTTCAGTTTTATGAGCATGGTCATGTGATTCCTTATTGTAAACAATCTTTTTGCCATAATTTTAAGGTGTTGTTAGTAGTGACACCTGGATGTTTCAGGTGAAGTACAGAGGTTGATCAGTGAGCAGACAGGGCGAGAGTGGCTGACAGGCAGAGAGAAATCCCCCACAGTCAGACAGATGGTGTTTTTGGGAATTCTGCAGATTCCTGGGTTCTGTGCCAGATGTGTGAATGTCGAGTGAGAGAGTGAGAGAGTCTGTGACCTGAGGCTGTTGGTGAGGCCTGAGCTGTGTCAGTCTGCAGCCTTCATAATCGACCTGCTCTTATCTCTCCATTAAAGCGCTGCAACACTCCGCTCACTTCTTCTTACTCTGCCTCGGACAATGCAGCGGATCAGTGCCCTAACCACTCAGCCTTAGATAAGTCAATTATCTGTACCCAACATACTCGCACCACACTAGAAGTTTCCGTGGGTTCTCAAAGAGCATTGTTCTTGAGTGCAGTCCCACTGCACTGCAGTTGTTCACCCCCTTTAATGAACCTCAGCAGGGCCTCCAGGTCCTATTGCATCATTCTCTTTCGAAGGAATGATTAAACAGAAGGAAGGAGACGGTTTGTGGGGAAATGCTGCTGACGATGCAAAACAACGTGCAGCGATGGATTGTTGAAAGCAGAAGATGACAGTTTACAAAAGGGGTCTGCTGCAGTTTCCATAATGTTGGACAAACGTGACAAACTAAGTGTTAGTTCCAGTAGAACATTGTCTGCACTGTTGCCTTTTATTTAAATGGTTGAAACGTCTGTGCAGCTCATGGAGAATATCGTGTGTTACAGGTTTCAGACTCATGATCTAGTATTAGTTTTCAAATCAATTAGGTGAAAGTGGATCATTTTTAACAGCACACCAGATGATATCACACTGGTCCAGAGAAACTAGTGACCAGTCCGTTCTTCACAAATTAATCTCCTCTCTTCTAAACCAACTTCTTTTCCTGCATTTTCTCCTCAGACTTAAAAAGCGACGGCAGCTCAAGAGCCAATCAGACAAGAGTGTGAATGAGCAGAACCCGGCCATCATCTTCTGTCCTGATACCATTCCAAATGTGGGTGAACCCAACAAGAAGGCAGATCTGCAGAGAGTGCAAACAAAACCGTCAGCAGGTTCCGGTAAGAAAGAAATACTTCTCAGCCTCTGGTGATGACATGACAGTGGTTCCCAAAGTAGGGGGCGGTGTAAAGTGCTTATGTGTTTGTTCCTTTTATGGTCATCATCCATGTTCAAACAGACAGGCAGCATTTTAATAAAAGCTGATTGGAATAAGGCGTAAACTCTGACTCTGAAGAAGGGTTGAAACAGGTTGTTTGTAGGTGAAGGGATGGAAATGGAGAAAGTAACGCTTGATCGTCGCTCTGCTGTGAGGAAAAATTAAATCCTGTGCATGTTCAGGATCAACAGTTCAGAAATGCTCAGAACTGACACTCACACACTCACAAATACAGTGTTGTTGTCTGATGCCTAGTCACGGCTGTTGTTCACACAGTAGCGGTGTATGTAATCAGGCTGCAGGGAGTGCTGGGTTAACAGCTCCTGCTCCTGGCACGAAGAAAATGCTGAGTGTGGACCTTGTCAATGATAAGGGTCAGAGTGTGTGTGTCACAGAGAGTGTGTGTGTGTGTGCACCTGCTACTTTCTCTTTTTATTAACGGTTCTGTTTAATGCTGCTGCTTTAAACCTTTGCTCAGTGAAGAACAAATCAGGCGAGGCGCAGAGAAATGACTTGTAAGAATATTCATTCCTAAATTCAGGTGCAGTTCACTATCTAACAGTTCATTTTTGCCGTTTTTTTCTGTTATGAGAGTAATGTCAGTTTTTAAATAATGACTGTCTCTTCTGTATGTTTATCAGACGAAGGCTCTAAAATCAAAAATCAAATGAAGCGGGAGAAGAAGAGGCCACCGGGGACAGTAGAGGTCATTGTGAGTCAGTTAAAAAAAACAAAACAAACAAAAAGAAATTTGTGACACATTTGAAGTATACCATTTCTGACAGTTGTGAAGCTGAAGGTGCTGCTCTCTTATTTCAGGTGGGGGCCCACGACTCCCTCAACAGCATCGCTCTCAAATTCAACATCACACCCAACAAACTGGTTCAGCTGAACAAGCTTTTTTCCCGCAGCGTCTACCCCGGACAGGTGAGAACGGAGTTCTCCTTCAGACTCTGCTGCACTCGTTTTAAGTGTCTGATCATTGGTTGTTCACCCCCTGCTGCAGAAACTGTTTGTCCCTGATCTGAGCCAATCGGACACCGACTTGAAGTCTCCAAGTACCTCTGAGCCCACACCCCTAAATGAGTCCTTGGAGAAACCATCACATGTGAGTGGTTTTCACAGCACTGCAGCCATTTACTGCAACAGAGAGAACGTACTGCAGAACCTTCTATTACCCAGCATTCAATGTCCTTTTCAGTGAATAGAGTCTGCAGGTATAGAAATATCTCAAAAAGAAAACTTACCTTTGGAAAAATAAATGTGTCCTCGTGTTATTAACACAAAGGTTTTACTACTTGTAGTACTAAATGTCAATCATCTTGTGGAAGCTGATCCCGCCCCTTCCATTACCCTTATGTTTTCTTTCGGTTTTAGCAACAACTAGCAGTTCTCGTGTATTTTCGTGTATTTTAAACTAAACTTATTAGATTTATTAAAACCTACACATTTTCTCATGTTTTTTTCGTGAACATCAGGACGGCATTTCAGACTGCAGGTCAGCAAAGTCCATCCGCCGCGAAGTCTCCCCGAACTCTGAGGACGACAGCCCCTCAACGGTTAAATTCATCAAGATGAGCTGCAAATTCTTCACTGATGGCATGGTGAGAGAATCTGTCACCACGGCAGTCGGGGATGAAAATATGAAATGTTTTGATTAGGGATGCAGCTATATCAATACCAGTGTTAATACGAATGAAAATGGTCCCATCAGTTTCAGTGTAGATGTGGTTTCAAGATAACTCAAGTTTTAACTGATCATTTTACATTGTTAAACCAGTAAATATCAACTGTCAACTGATCTTTGACTGATGTTGTTTCAACTCTTTGTGTTGGAAATTTCAGCAAAAGAATCTGTTTGTAATTTTTTTTTTTTAAGGGAGTGGTGGGGGGCGTCCTGATCGTAACGCCCAACAACATCATGTTTGACCCACACAAGTCCGACCCCCTGGTGATCGAGCACGGCTGCGAGGAGTACGGCCTCATCTGCCCCATGAAGGAGGTGGTTTCTGTGGCGCTCTACAACGACGTGTCCCGGATGAAGCTGAAGGACGCTCTGCCATCGTAAGACATCCTGGGCGTCTTCATCACTAATCCCTCTCCTCCTCAGCTCAGCTCCATCCAGGCTCCACAGTGCTGCTGGAAACTCTTCATGTTGTTGTTGTTTTTCTGCCTTCTTTGTTTTTTTCTTTTTTTGTTTGTTGCAAAAAAAGTGACAAAAATGTGAATTGTTAAAGTTCAACTTACAGAAATGATTTTATAAAAGTGAATGAGCTTTAAAACAATTATTAAGCAGCAATTTTATTTTCCTGGAAGTACCTGGGAAAAATTAACTGAAAAGAAGCCAACCTTTGGCTAGAATGCAGCACTGAAACATCACAGAGCTGCCTCCTGCCATGACCTCTTTGACCTTAATCACCAAGTGTTTTCATTTGTTATTTTTTTTCATTTGTGTGTTGACATAAAACCTCAGTTTTACTTCAGTTGAATGGTTTTTGCTTCATTCTTAATCACATTCTCATTGTAATTAATTGTTCATCCCATTTGTTGTTTGCTTTTTTAAGTTGTCATCATTTGTGCATCATTTTTAATTTCTGTTGGTTCTGTTCTGTTTTTTTTTCTTTTCCTGTTTTTCTTCATTCCCATCCTCCTTCTTCCGTGCGCTGTGTGTCTCGTGGCTGATGTCTGTCCAGAGACCGACCCCAGGATCTGTGTCCTGTGTACAGGCCCGGCGAGTGGGAGCAGCTGCCGTCAGAGCGCGACCTGAACCCCTTCAGCCGCTATGAGGCTTTAGAGCCAAAGCGAACGATCATTTTGGATGACTTTGAATCAACTTTGTCTGAAACTGGTGAGAGACAACGTCCATCGTGGACATTCACATTCTGGGTAACTTTAAACAGTAAAAAAGTAAAAAAGAGTTTTCATATTTTCTCCAGCAGGGAGCTCACTGGGGGAGTTGACAGAGCAGTCGCCGTCTGATGAAGGTTTCACAGAGTTGGAGCCAACTGCCAATGAAAACAATGAGGAAGCAGAGGAGTCCACCTCCAGAAGGTCCGGCACTGTCAGCAAGGTCCAACAGAAACATCCAGGATGTCCAGACCAGGGAGATTCCCAGGACAAGTCTGCAGTTTATCAAACTAAAGGGAAGCTGGATGAAGAGGAAGACGAAGGTGTGGCTCAGACCGGCTCCATTGATGGAGAGTCGATACACTCCTCCTCAGAGACTGAGAAAGTGGGTGACAGATCCACAGGCCAGGAGACCATCAAAACCAAAGAGGTTTCTTCTAAAGGGAACCAGAAGCTGCTGCTTGCTGCTGTGGATGATGAAACAATCAGCGCACCAGCGGACCAGAACTGGAAGTTGGGTCTGAGCAAAGATGCTGCGGAGGCTCAGTGGAATTTTAGTCCTAATGGAACCAGCTCAGACAGACCAGCAGAGGGAGACGGGCTCAGTGAGGAGGAGAGAAGGAAGAAGAATTATGAAGCAGAGGTGAAGACATGGCTCATGGAGAGGATGAAGGCCCCCATAGAAGGTAAAAGCTGTACATAAAACACACACAGAAAACCACAATGACAGACGAGCTGTAGGTCACAGTCTGATTTAACAGAACCTCAACAAACGGTGACATGGTCTCTGTGACAGATCTCAGCCAATTCGCCAAACAACTTAGTAAATGTCAGGCTGAATCTGTCTGGTTTGTGTCTCCTGGGCTGCATGTGCCCCAGGTCACATGACTTTTTTTAATCTTATAAAATGTTTTGTAAACTGTACCAAATCGTGTATTGAATTTGTACCATCTTTTGAAGCGGTCCTGTGTTGCACAGATTTGAACACAGGGCGGTGTAGGAGGCAGCGTTCATAATTCACGTGTTATTGCGAACACACCCTTAAAGTCTTCCTGTATAGAGTTTTAGCCTCTGCTGACCCCTGGCGGTGGTAGAAAAGAACACACTGTAGCATGTTGCACATTTTTTTATCTCCCACAATATTTCTGCCAAACTGCTGAGGTAATGTAGCTGCGGTTTAGGAATTGAGATGTGTCCTTAACAAGTTTTCTGTTTTGATTTTTTTTTCCACAGATATGCTTTTCTCATCAGAAGAGAAGAGTAAAAACCCTCCAATGTTCCTCTGCTTCAAAGTGGGTAAACCAATGAGAAAATCCTTCGCTACTGGAATGACCTTCAGCCCCGCCCACTCATTAGGAGGTCGTGGAAAGCAGCCAGAGTACTGGTTTGCTGTGCCCCAGGAGAGGTGAGAAAATGACACAGTTTGGATGAAGATGATGAATATTAATGCTTTGAATAATTTTTTTTTTTGTTTGTGTTTTGTGTGTGTGTCTCAGGGTGGACCATCTATATGCATTTTTTGTGCAGTGGTCTCCAGATGTCTATGGTAAGGAGGCTCGGGAGCAGGGCTTTGTCGTTGTGGAGAAGGAGGAGCTGGACATGATCGATAACTTCTTCAGTGATCCCGCATCTTGTAGCTGGGAGGTGAGATGTTTGTGTCAGTGCCGTGTTAATGACCGATGCCACGGTCAGCCGAGCAGATGACATTTTTATTTCACAGTATTGACTCATTTCTACACTGTCTTTGCCACTAGATCATTACCATAGATGAGGCGAAGCGTCGGCAGAGTTTCAGCAGCCACGATGAAGAAGTGTCGGTGGACACACTGCCCATCCTCACTGACAACAGTGACCTGCTGCAGGACACACACATCGAGAAGGTAATCAGATAAAAATGACCCGCCTCCTCGCAACGAATGATGAACTCTACAGCAGGATATTGATTATTTTGTCTAGTTTAATTTGATTATCTGTTTCCTCTGCAGCTGGCCTGTCGACTGCCGGCACGAGTGCAGGGTTACCACTGGAGACTGGCCTACAGCACGGTGAAGCACGGCACCAGCCTGAAGACGCTGTACAGAAACCTATCCACTGTGGACAGTCCAGTGCTGCTGGTCATTAAGGACATGGACAAACGGGTAAATGGCGTTTGTGTGATGGGCTGTGATGTCATTGCTTTATTTTTTAATGTTGATAAGAATCCTTCAAGTACAAGCTTCATTCAGTTGTCTTCTGTCTTTGGTGACATCTTGTGGTACAGAAAAATATACAATAGTGCTGTCAGTGAAAACATTTGAAACTATTGAAGTCTTGGGCTTTTTCAAGTCATGGGAAAATTGTGTTCAGTGTTAATTCTGCCTGTGGTCACAGATATTTGGAGGCTTCTCCACTCATCCCTTCAGAATGAGCGAACACCACTACGGCACAGGAGAGACCTTCCTCTACTGCTTCTGTCCCGAAGTCAAGGTGTGAATGAAACCAACTTTAGGTTTGGAACTTTATTCCTCGACAGCAACTTCACACGGTGTGTTATTTTTGGGTCGTTTCCAGGTTTACAGGTGGACGGGGGAGAATTCTTACTTTGTGAAAGGCAGCATAGATTCTCTGCAGATGGGCGGAGGAGGGTAAGTTGAACCAATACTTTGTGGAAAGGCGAACTTTCAATGTCTGTATAGAAAGAGCAGCAGGGATTAAAGCGTTGATCGTCTTGTTGTAAGGCAATGGCACTCAGCACTTCTACTGTGATGTCTGTTCCCAGGGGTCAGCTGGGCCTGTGGCTGGACGCTGAGTTGTATCGAGGAGCCTCCTCCAGGTGTGCCACCTTCAACAACCAGCCTCTGTCCACGCAGCAGGACTTCAACATCCACAGTCTGGAAGTGTGGACTTTTGAGTAGCATCTCCTGCACGTGTTAAGTGTAGGTACTCTGTCATTCACGCTGCGCTCCGCGACCTCAAACACTTCAGGCACCATCAGTCCATGACCCAGTGATGCTGAATGGTCTGCTGGAAAGCACTGCTGGAATGTTGAATCTTCTGTCACTTGTCGTCGTACATTCGCTGCCTTATACATGTGATGGTGGCTTTCCCCAGCTGTCCCAGCATGCTCTCTGCTAACTGCCACACCGCACTGAGCTTGTGAGGACTGAGGGAAGGAGGAGAAGGTGGTTGCTGGAGAGGAAAAATTGATCATGTTTTTGTTAACATGGAATTTGAAAGAAACTCAAAAAGGCAAACAAAGAATTTTAACTCTTCCACTACAACAGGAAGTGACTTGATTGTTTACATTATGAGTGTCTGACTTCTTCAGAATGTTGTTTTGTTTTGAAGTTTTAAATAGAGGCCAGTGAGACTTTTTTAATTGCCATTCCTCATCACTACATAAAAACTTTTTTTTTATTCCCAAGTACAATCCAAAACAAGTTACTAAGCCAGGAAACATTTGCAGCGACCAAATATATAATTTCTTTATTTCTATATTTGTTTGTTCCTATTTTATAAAAATGTTTATTTCATTTTATACATTTATTTTTTTATATATACATTCAGTCCTTAGGATGTTTTTATAGTGGTTTTAATGGGAAATGTCATCCTTGTTTTGATTTCCAAATTGACTCAGTAAGCACTTATTTCATAATTTTACAGCATTTAATTTAGATTTGTTTTCATTTCAAACATTTTCATGGCTGTGATCTGCAGCCAGAAAAGATGGAACACGATGATTCTCTTTGCACTACATGATTAATGACCAGTCTGTTCTGTGTCGTGGGCTTTTGAAGTTAAGCATATATAAAGGTTTTTACTGGATGTTTTATCACCACTACAGGGTGAGGGTCTTTGCTCCAAAATGGAAAAAGGGAAAATTCACAATACTGCACTCTGATAAGCCACTCAAAGGAAATATTTACATCTACAGAGTTTGAAAAGTGACGCTCATTTACATCCTCTACGTCCTCTGTGTCTGTCACAGGCTCATAAACATGCAATACTACCAATGTCTGACATTATTGTGACCATTGATTGGCTGCCCCCTCCTGTCATTCTGTTCACCAACGCCAATGTTTGCTTCACGTGAAACTGAGCTCTGTTGTGTGTAGCTGTTCAGTGTTGTTACTGTGAATGCTCCAGAAGTATTATTTCTTGTGAATCTGAAAACTGCTGTGCACTGTAATATCACTATGGGTCTATTTATTGTGTTGTTACTGCAACCACATTTAAACTTAAATAAATATTCACAATTGAGGTTTAGGTGTGTTCTTTCTGTCTTCTTATATTTTAATAGTTTCAGCAAACTTTTGAAAATAGCTTTAAGACTATGTATTAGGCGTCCAGAAAAGTGGAATGTATTTTACAGCTGTATTAGTTGAGGGCATAATAAAAACTGTTGGATGACATTACATTTAACTAGGAATGCCATCCATAGTTATGGCTTAGTAATTCAACTATTGTTGAAAACCTCTAAAATAAATAGTTAAATGTCATTCGAAATATAGCTTAGTGTTAGCCAGAAAACAAATCAATAGCTCACAAATGCTAAAAGCTGACTATTATGTTGAATAGATGAAGCCAAGAGTTAAAATGTTGACAATAATTATTTAAGAAATACATCTGTACAGATGAGCAATTTGAGCTGGTGCTGTTTATATTATGGTGTTTCCCCCCGACATGTTTACTTATTAGATTACTTATTAGATAACGCGCAGTCACTAATTAAATAAGACTCTAAATGACATTATATATCAACCAGTCCAGACGTCTAATATGAATAAACGTTTCACGTAAGTTAACGCCCCTTTAAGTGTTTACTAGAAGAAGATGGGCACTCGGTCGAAGAACAGAGAATCACTTAACGTTCGATAAACATTATTATGTCTTTATTATTAATGACTTTTCTTAGCTGTACACATTTCTGCATAATAGTTGTTTAGGTTCACTACCGTCGGGTAGTTGTGGTGCTGTTCAATATAGAAAATGCAGTACTTGATTTTTAAGTCTCAAATTAAGACTCTGAGTCAGCATAGACGATCTTTGACGCGGCGTGTTTCCTGGCAATGTTCCTGTCTGTTGAAGGAAGTTCAATCCGATCGAATCATGGCTGGAGAGTCAAATCTGGACTCTTCCTTGTTGGACTCTTGTATTTTCTGTTCTATAGCCAGTGAACAGGACAAAGAGGCGAAAATTCTCGCAAAGGTAAAACGATTTAAACTTGCATTGAAGCTTTAAAACGTGGAATAGTGACGTTCGCGGTTTTTAAGTGAAAAAAATAATAAATAAATAAAACAATAATAGTGGGTCAGCAGGTACGGAATCCCTAAAGGGACATGGGGGAAAATAAACATTTTTGGTGCTCATCTGTAAGTTTCAGGTGTACCAGGAATTTCAACACTCTGTCTTAAGAAATTGGAGTTTCTGTTTCTGTTTCAACAACAAAAACAGTATTACAAAATAGACTAGAAATACGAAATGGGATTTGGCTTAATATTTCCAGATGGGATTTTTCTCATTGCAGAGAAACAAACTCAGGACACCCACTGATTCAGTGTTAGGATTTTTTTTTTTAACTTTGAATTTTTTTTTTTTTTAGGTATTCCTAGTCATATAATTTAATTTCTTCTTCTGCTTGTTGAAATCAGGATTAAGGCGTAGTTAAAGCAAAGACCTCCGACGCACCAGTTTATAACTGATAACTGATAACTAATTTGTGTGTGTGTGTTTTTCTACAGACTGATGAGATACTGTGTTTTAGGGACATCGATCCAGCAGCACCTCACCACTACCTGGTCATACCCAGGGAGCACATACACAGTTGCCTATCTCTACAGAGGAAACATATCAACCTCAGTCAGTAAAAATAAAATCTGGCGCTAAATCTACCTGCTGTGAAATTCTTTACTGCTTAACACTTGTGGTCTGCTATACTGGAGATTTTTCTTAATGCTGCAGTGCATAATGTGACTATGTAGTTTTCAATTTAGTTTACTGTTCATGTCGCTTGTGTCTGCACAAAAACCTAACAACTCAATTAACTCTGTAGCTTTTAGAATTAGGATTTTGTAAAACATCTAATGAAAGATTGTGTTTAATTACATATTTTATATCCAACAGTTAAAAAAATGGCTGAGATGGGAAAACGTGTGCTACAAACTCAAGGGGTGACTGACATGAACGATATAAGGTAGGTGGAGACAGTGCATGTGGATGTTTAATCAGTAAACGGGTTCATTTCATAATTTGATTTAGAGGTACAATCAACATTTAAAACCTCCTGTATAAGTTCAGGAAAATACTAAAAGTGTATGGAGTTCATCTGTGTGTGGGACACCACCCTCTCTCAATATGTTTTTCTTTTAGAGTTTTTTTTTTTTTTTTTGAAGTCGCCTGATTGTTTGTGGTTGTTAAGTTAGAAAGACTAAGTATTAGTAAAAAAAAATTGAAGAGATTCCTTTTTGAAAAGTTATGAATTTAACAAACAGTTGTTGTGCACTGGAATGTGATTTCAATTATTATTTTAGCTGACAATGTAGACAGTACAGTTCTATATGGTTTATGTATCAAACTGACAATAAATCAAATTTTGTGGCAGAGTTGTGAGACATGTATAGCAGTAGAGGCCAGTGGAACTTTACACTGTGGTTACAATTGGACTTTCTTACATCAAATGTACAATGGGTGAACTCAGTATATATATATTTTTAAAATAGTAACAGTATATCCTTTGTTTCTCAGTAAACCATTGTCCATATTTATTTTCCTTCCCAGTCTGGGATTCCACAAACCCCCTTTTATTTCAGTCAATCACCTCCACCTTCACGTGATCGCCCCCAGCAGTCAAATATGCGACTTTATGATTTATAAATTTATTCCAGGGACGGAAAGCTTTATTTTGGTGAGTGCATGTTTACTTTATTTTATTATTTTAATATCAGTGACCTTCCATATTTTATTGTAAACAATGAAAAACCATTTAAAAATGCATTAGGTTTTTGCATATACTGTATACACATGTTTATCATCCATTATATATTTTAATAATAATGAGCTGAAACTGTCAGTGACAATAAAAACTACATTGTTTTAATGTGTCTTTATATTTTGTAAGCAGGAAAAAGATCTACGGAAACGTTTGGAGAAAAGTGAAAAACAACAGAACGCAAAGTCACTGAATTGCTTTTCATGGTGATGGCAAAGGATTATAAGGATTTTTAAAGTATTTATTTATATGTTAGACTTTTTAAACATTGTGCCTTGATGTTTGTGGACTTTTAGTTAAAATATGGATATAATTGGTAAGGTACTGTATGAATAATATGAACTGTAGATGTTTATTAATTTATGTTAGGGATAAAGAAAAAAATATACATATGAGTAGTCAGAACGGTCAGATTATTAATTGTCCCATAACATATCTGGGATTTTATTACTTTCAATTTTTTTTAAACAGATTATGGTTATGAAGGAAGCTGCAGCCAATCCCAGCAGTTGCTGGGTAAAAGACGGGATACAACCAATGACCTCAATACATAAGAAGTAAACTCCAAAGACATTTATCAAGTATTCTGTGGTTCTATTTCTAGTTTTAGGGGTTTTGTCCTCAAAACACAATGTTAGTTATGTGTATTATGACTGAAACATAGAGAAATAAATGCACAGACGTTACTTTATCTTCTGAACATACCCAGGTATTTCTGAGACAGCCAGAATCCCTTTTTATTTCACAACTTTTACTTTGCTTTCCACATGTCAGGTTGCCAGTCGACCACAGTCACATCCTGTATATAGTATATGTACAGAGAAGACACCAGACAAACAAACAGTGGTTTTCTTTGGCAGTGTAGGGCAACAGCACTAACTAATGAATACAATGATGTGGGAAGTAAAATTATAACTGATGTGGCCGGAGTTTGTTCATCCTTTTCCTGCTTTTGAGCAAGGCTATAAATGATACTACTGTGTTAAAAATATGTTCTACTGTATTAAACAATATTGTGATTAATGGACTGATGGATAATTATTTATACTGTGTTTTAAAAATGAACTGTTGTGTATTGATACTAGTGAAGTTTCAATTCTTTGTGTTGAGTCCATCATTGCCTAATCCTTTGCCAGTCCATCAGGGGGAAACATGTAGAACAACAACTGGCCTTATTTATTTTATTGATCATATACATACACACCATCAGATTTGTCCTCTGCATTTAACCCATCTGTGGGGAGGGGGTGGGAGCAGTATATGTCAGTGGCATTGCGATAGTTGTTGTTTTATTGGTATTTGTTACCACAATTATTGTAATATAAATAGACATAGAGTATTACTTAAACTCATACCATCTAAACACTGACGTGTTGGGATTGATTAATGTCAATTTTATTAATTAGCTGAGGGTTTTTTTCAATTTTATTAATTAGCTGAGTTTTTTTTGTTTTTGTTTTTTGTAATTAATTTCCCAGCCTGGGATCAATAAAGTATATCTATCTAGCTTTTGCCCGGGAGCTTCACGTCAGACGTCAAACTCTTTGACAGGTTGCGTGAGGGCGTCACGACGCTTGTGCTGAATGGCCCCGCCCCGCTCTCCAGTCAACAACTGGATCCCAGCGAGATGTATTTTCATCGGTAGACTGTTCACGTCGCGTTGGTGAAAAAGGAGACCTAAAAACCGACCTAGATAGGCATGTCCTCATCTTTATCTACATAAAACACATACCGTCGACAGTAGGCGCCGATGTGCGGCCACTGGACGCGAGAAAAGTAGCCACGGAGAGCAGAGAGAGCGTCCTTTAGTGGCCGCTTGTGAGAGCAGCTAACGCAGCTAACGTTGACTGTATATAACGCAGCCAGCTAGGGCTGCGGCTGACAGGCAGACCGCTGTCCGTAACTGTGCCAAGAATTTCCCCGCTGGAGCAATGGCGAGTCTCTGACGTTGGTGAGCATCATTGTGTCATTAAAAAGCAGCTGCATGATGTTACGTTGTTGTTTATTCAGCTGATTTGGCATCGTTTTACCCGCTAACAGCGAGGGGCTAACGGTGGGCTTGTTTGTAGCTGCGACTGCACGCAGCCACGCCTGGGCCGTTTAAATGGATGCTTTACTTAAGTTGAACCACGTAACCACTACAGATACAAAAGTCTAACGCGTTCAACTTCAAAATGTGTAAAATAACACTGTTCTGGATTTCAGAGAGGAATAGAGGCCCAGTTGTTTATCACACTGCTGAAGTCAGAAGCCTTATCTGCCCAGGTGGGTCTCCGCTGTGGTGCCTTCGAGAAAAGTGAGGAGCCAGCAATAACCAAGTGGCCGATGCACTTAGTTCTGACCTGCCAGAGCTGCCAGTATGATGCCGGTAGGTTCATATTTCCCTAACACTTAGTGTTGGTGATGTTACATGTTGTAGTTGAACATCCCTCATCTCACCAGTCTTTTAAAAAATGCAGTCTAAACACATGGTAGCTGTGTTATGATCAAAGACATTTGTTTTGCAACTTGTTGACAACTTTCAGAAATATGGCAATGCAACGTGAAGGACCCTCTGTTGTTGTACAAGCATCAGTGAAAGTATTGTATATATGTCCTAATTCCTATAAAAATATGAATGCATATAAGTTTTAAATAGTGTGACACTCTTCACTCAGACAATGAAGTGTAAACCATTTTAAAGTTGTAGGCACTTTTTAATTAATGGTACATCACATGAACACAGGGATAACACAGAAACAGTTATAAAATCCCACTCTGAATAAAGATCTAAGAGCTCCATCTCTTTCTGAGAACTTGGAACTTACAAAGGTCACTCTGGAGATGCGGCAACATCTGTAAACATGCATCCTCAGTTCACTGTAAATGAAATATTGTAAAACTTGGAAATTCATGTAAAACATGTAAAAAAATTAATGATGAAAAGTTGTACTTTAATTTAAAATAGGGCAGGCAGACATTCATTTCACCCTCCCTGCAATGAGATAAAATGTGCGTCATGTAACACTGGGGGAAAATGATCCCTACTGGTTTTGAGCAGTGGGTGCAGTCAAGAACTATTTTCCCTCTGTTGTTTTCCCAGGTGCCATTGTTGAAGGTGTTCTATGAAGCACACAATAGAAACACCTGAATGGCACCTTTGGCTGCACAGTGCTTTGTTAGGATGCTCTTTGTAATGTTTTAATGCTGATAATGCAACAAGAAGCCATGCTGAATCCCATTTACAGTATACTTGGCCTTCGGGGAGGGAGAGCCTAAATTTGTGAGACAGATATATTTACAGTAGCTTTCATCGGGTGTCATTAAAAATGGAGTGAATTTAGGCTGCATCCCTTCACTGTTTTTTTTTTTTTGCCTGGTGTTCCTGACTGAAAACAACCAGTGTTGATGCCAGTGTTTTGGCTCTGTGTTTATTTTAAGCCCTGTCTCTATGCCTTAAATGGAAGTCACAAGATCACTAACCACTGCTTCATTAGATCCAAAAGTGTGGCTGAAGATGAAGTTTCTTTTTTTGCGCGTCCCCTGTAAGCTGCTGTGGTGTATAAAAATAAAAAGCAGTGTAAAGTGGGTGGAGATGTGTGTCATGGATGATGTGTCATGGAAGGATAGCAGAGTGAAAGAGAGTTTTTTTAAAAGACAGTAATGAGACCTGTTGTGGTGAATGGCTTGGAGTCATTGGCACTGTCTGAAAAACAGGAAGCAACAAAAGTTGGAAGTAGATTTAAAGATGATCATATTTTCCTCAATAAGGTACTTCAATGGACAGGATCAGAACTAGTCGTATCAAAGAGCTGATCGCTAAAGCCAAGTATTTTAAGGTCAAGTCAGAGAGAAAAGGTTTTGTTGCTTCAGACATAATATAGATGCATTGATTCTATAAAACATGCCCTGATGTAAGAGTGAAGACAACAAAGGTTCAAATAGACACAGACAATCTGAACCCTGAGGGGAGATGCTGTATGATGTAGAAAAAAAATACTTGTGACCACACATTGGTATTCAGCTTTGGTGTCACTTCAGAGTCTTCCAATGGCTGCTGACACAGAGTTCACAGGATTGACTAAAGCAGCCTTAATACATGTTTGTACCCTGTGGCACCAACAGGCAATCAGAGTCAGAGCCAGTCGGGCAGAGAGACGGCCCTGGCACTCAACCCTCACGTGAATTCAGCAGCCAATGAGATCTGGGCAGATCTAGGTCTGCGTGGCTGTGTGGACTAATGCTCTGTTGTTATGGGGAACCTCTGAGCTGAGTAGATTGTCAAGTGGCATTAATCTCACTCAGTGAAGCCGGGCAGAACCTGACCTACAAGAAAAGTAAACATTGTATTTTATTCTCTCTTTGTAATATATTTTTTGGGGGTGGATTGGGGAGGATACTGTGTTAACATCACATGTTGTCAGCCACCCACAGTGACGTGCTGGGTTTTAAAAAGTAAAATGTAACAAATGTATTATACGTGACTTTTACTTTTTAGTCTTTTCCCCACAGTCAGCATGAATAGATGAATAGTCAGTTACTAATTAATTTAACAACTCCTACCTGTTCCCTGCCTCCCAGATCTCTTTTCTCTTAAACAAGTATCTATTATTCATTAGTCTTTCCTCATGTGCATTAGTAAGCCTTCACTCATAGGGACGCATACTTATCCTGAATCTTTCACACTTCTCTGTCCATTGTTGTTATGTTTTATTCTTTTCAATAGGAGGAAAAATCAATTAAAAATAATGTGAGTGTAGATAGACAAATAGGAGTATACAACATCTGCTAGAATAACTGTCTTCATCCTCACTATGGGAAAGAGACTCTTCAAATTGTGTTACTAACAGCCCAATGCTCTATATGTTTAGTCCTGAAGCATGTTACCTAAATGTCAACTTCATGCTTGGTCAATCCAAAAAAATCTATGTTTCTAATCTTTCTCCAGTACTCTAAAGGAATGGCTTGTAGATATTATTAACACCTTTACGCTGCATATGGTAAAGACAGACCTGTGTGTTGTCAAGGTATTGCAAATAAAATCCAGACATAAACTGATTAGACTAAATCATATTGCTGAACACCTCATGTTATGCAGAGAGATCCTTTCCCTTGTGGTTTTCCAGTCTGAGGCATTTAATGAAGGTTACAACTTGGAAAAATGGTAACATTTGAGTTAGTTTTTGCTCCTGCAAACATTTTGTTTTGTTTTCAAAGGCCTGTGGTGGCATCTTTGTAAGTGAGTGATGGGACATGTGAGAGGAAGTGACTGAATCATTGTGCTGCAGATGGGAGCTGTCAAGCGTCCCTCTCACTCTCAAAGGCTCCATGATAAATGTCCTCTCCTTCGAATAAGGCCCACTGTAGCAACTTATGTCAAGCACAATCAGGCAGTTATGTTTCTAGTCCTGTTCTGCAGCCAGCAGAGTGGACAGTTTCACCTGGATCTACGTACATGAATGTGTCCTGACCTGTCATTGGCTCACATCTGAGTCCAAACTACATTCAGTGGACAATGTGTCATCACTTTGCAGCCGCTGTCACAATCCAATGACACGAGAAGGATTCGGTGGTGCCCACCCCTCCACCCATCACTCGTTAATTCTCTCTCTCTCTCTGTCTGTCTGTTTATGGCTCTCCACCTCTCTCTCCTTCTCCCTCCCTCCCTGCACTTCACATACAGAAAGTGTTTTTTCCTCCCAAGTCTCCTCTGCAGCACTTTTCTAAGGCACACACACAGTCAGCCATCAGCTCCAGGTCTGATCAGGATGCAACAATAATCAAGTCTCGTGCATGAAAATATAAACCCTGCCGGTTGCTGAGATGAAGCGGTTTGTGACCATAGTGCTACGTAGCCTTGTTAACCTTTCCAAAGACAACCCCATCTGGGTGAAGGAGCACCACCACCACCAGCAGCTAAAGAAGAAGAAGAAGAAGAAGAGGAAACGGAGGCCGGCCAAGAGAGCCAAGAACACGGGCAGACGCGGCTTAGTGAGGGCGGTTCGTATGCACGGCCACACTTCAGTCATATATAAAATAGTAGTTTGTTTGATCAGGTATATCTCAGTATGTTTTGTTGACGTTTTCTGTAATGGCTTTTATAAAAGAGTTGATTTTCTTCTGGTTTGGAGGTTTATGCAGTCACACGATCTAGAGACTTGAGTGATTAGGTGTTAGTAATGGCTGTAGCTCAGTGGTTCGAGAGTTTGTCTTTTACTAAGACGGTCTGTGTGCAAAGTCTGCCTCTTGCCGACATGTCTGTGTCTGTGGGTGACTGACCTAACCCCAGGGTTGTTCATTAAAGGCGGTGGTGGGCAGAAACTGTGGGTCAGACCATGCACTGATATTTGCATGTTACCTGTGGTTAATGAAGAGAGAAAGTTGTTCCTCACCCTAATTAGTAGTATCCTGATGTTCTTTGTTGCAGACTATAAATGGCTCTTTGTTTTAATGTGATCCATCATTGAAAACACAGAAATGGATGAGGAGTCTTAATGCTCTGAATTATATTTCAAACCCTTTTACAAGAATTTCTGAACAAATCCAAATAATTGCATGTGTCCTGACTGGGCTCACTTTTATTGCTGACCTCATTGGAACATGTCGTATCTCATTATGCAGCTGCCTGAGCTGTAGTTTCCCCCCAGGGGATTGAAGAAGTAATTATTTGTAAAATACCGACATAAATAGCATTCAACATAAACACATTTACGGCCTTAAAGCTTTTAGAATGAGATCCTCTCTCTGTCTTTCTGGACAAGGACAGGAGCAGCAGCAGCTTCACTGTCTAAGAAAAGGCCATTTACTTCTGCCTGGGCTCCTGCATCATTTAATACTGTCAGTTATCACCGAAATGTAAGATTCAGGGTTATTATTAATGTCAGCAGAGGGGACAGTTCACACATTATCATGCAGTATAGGCTACTGCGGAAAATGTCAATGAATCACACAGTTGCATCATTACCATGGATGGGTTACTTTAGCTCCACTGGAAGTCCTGGAGGCATTCTCATCTATAGGTGCCTCAGCGACTGGAGCTGTGATATTTCCAACAGTGGCTCACACTGGTACTGATTGTACCACTGTGCATCTCCAGGCTGAATATACCTGTAATAACACAGTAGATATGCCCTAAAATAATGCAGGCTTTTGGCTTTTTCTTTTTAAATATTTGTTTTCCATTAAGCAAAGTAAGTCAGCCTGACAGATTCATCACACCCCAGGAAACGAAGTTGACAGATTCATCACACCCCAGGAAACGTGAACAAGCCTGGAAGAAAACCTGAGTCATTCTGCAAACTCTAGAAAGTGTTTCTGCACTTTTAAAGCTGCTACATTTTGGTTAATCTTTGTGGCTAATTTGGTGTTGTATTTAAGCCTATAGTTCGCTATTAAATAAAGAAAGTCAGCATAACGGAAAATGATTACTATCTAGTAGTCTGTTTAAACTATTACAAACTTCACTTTTTTCCCCCTAATGCTTTTTCTCTTGTTTGTTTTCTGAGCTTCTCACTGTCCATTTGATGTGTAGATGCTCTTCACTGCACTGAGTCAGTCACATCGAACAGGAAGACACACCTCAACCACCCGGCGTGCATTGTGCCACGAACAACAGTCAAAATCAGGCCATTTCTCATGTCGGTGTGAATGTCAGTGTACCTTTCTCATTCACTACTGCAAGAAATTAAATGACACCAAGAAAAGTAAAAGTTTATCTCTGCTCATCTGAGCTGGAAAAGTCCTGTCTGTAAACAGGGCGCTGGAGTCGTGTTACTCTGTTCCCTCTACTCATTCATCCATCAGCGTTAATTATATTCATTGGACCTGTTCTCACCTCCTCAACCACATTAGAAACAGATGGAGTTTAGGAACCCTCCAACCTCCTAAGACAAAGAACAGGACCAAGTGCTACGTTCAAACTTACTTTTGTATTTGCTCTCATAACTAAGCTAAAAGTATAAAACGTAACTTAATTTGTTCATTTTTGTTTATTGCCCCAGTGGCGAACCCTGTTGCTGTTTGTGTTACAGAATCTTCTGCTTCCGTTTATTCATTCA